GTTTTGTGATGTTACTGTGATTGCTGGATTGCCATTGTATTCTGTTTTGTGCTTTGATGTATGCTGTGTTTTTCATGTTTTTCTTGTGTATGTGTTTTGTTGTGCTATGCTGTCGGCCCTTCTGGCCGGTGGTCTATTGTTTTCCTTTATGTATTCTGTATTTTTATTGTATTTAATTTGCATGCTCTGCATGTAAAAAAAAAAAAAAAAAACTTACCAATAATAATGATGCTCTCAACTAACCCTATTCATAAGCCCTCAACCCCCAGGATTCCAATACACTATAGGTGATTGAGAAGCTTTCGAAAACAGTGCACAGTAAATCAGTGTCACAGACTTTAATGGAAAGGAAACATAATGCATAAACACAGAGCTAAATACTTGGATTAGCACCATAGAAAAATGCTGGAACAAGCATATCCCCGTCGCTCACCACTTAACGCTCCCCCTCCCCAGCCATTAAGGCACTCACATCACTTCAAACCAGATATAACAATCTTCGACAACTGACAACGCACAATGGGTGGACGGAGGAGTTCAAAAGACTACAAACAGAACTACAAGTGGAGCTGCAAGATCTATGCAAAATAGAGTACACCAAAAAATGAGATGACCTAATAAGCCAAATTCAAGTCAACTACAGATACACAGGAAAGTTCTGGACAAAAGTAGAAACCCTGATGAGAAACTCAGCCGCTGAGGAAACACCTTACATCAAAGACGCCTCAGGAAACAAACTCTACGAGAACAGAGATCAAAAACAGGAAGTCACGATGAACAAATCCATAAGGGCCATGACGAGGATTCGAACCTGCGTCCGAGAGCATCCCAGACGCTGCGTTAATCGACTGAGCTATGATATGGTCCAAAGAAGTTGAAACCGAAGTTCTACTGAACTTACTGGATCCTGCAGCCTCTCCGAGGCACAACAAACAACGAGGATTTTACACAACTCCCCCCATGCACTCAAGATATGTCAATAGGCCGTTCTCCCTCTTCACCCTAACATCAAACAATTGTGATTTCTGTGTGTAAGGAAGTCACGATGATCTGGGAAAACATATTCAGGATAAACCCGGAAGAAAATGTAAACTTTTGTTCCTCACAGAGACAAAAGTGAATACAGGTGTTCAGTTAGCTCATTTTGTCCTTCCTTTCCCATTCATGAGGCTGAGACGTGCTCTCATTATGCCAGCTGTGAGCGGTGGGACAGTAGTCCTACGGCACATGTATTGTGTAGCTGTCAAGTGTCACTCAGGATATTAATGTAATGTTAAATTGTTGTGGTCTGTATTAGTATTAAGTTTTGTTAATAAACTGTTATTGTTGCCATACGTGACTTTATGTCTACCTTTCAAGTGTACTGCTTTTTATCAATGTCCGCCACAAGCTACTTCAGATACTCTGAGGGAGTCTGGCCCTAGCTTCGGTCGGAGACAGACGTGTTGCATCGGCGCTCCAGCAGTTGGTGTTGTTTGCCAGTTTCGGCCGGTTGAGGGCGGGTGTGTCTCTGCTCGCCTGTGCTGAAGTGGCGTTACGATGGGGGTCCCTCTACCCCCTGTCGTCCAAGCTCAGTCTGTGGGTCTAGAGTTCTCTGTGCGGGGTGGGTACCCGGAGATTGCGCTGGCTTGTGAGGTGCTCTCTGTCCCTGTGTTTGAAATTTACGGGGTCGAGTTGGTAACGGCCCGTAGGGCGATTGTGAAGTTCACCGAGGAGGTGATGTTTCGCGAATTTCTCCGGCGATACGAGGGGCGAACGCTACTTCTGCCGGATGGTGCGGGCACTGTCACCTTCTCTGATAGAAGTGGTGCACTCACTTACATCAGTGTGCATGGGGCTCCCTTGGAGTTTCCAGAGGCTCTGCTACGGCGGTATTTCGGCCGGTTTGGCGCGGTAGTTAGTGTGAGGGTGAACGTAGTGTCTTCTAGTCCTCTTAAGGGTGTGAGGTCTAACATTCTCACCCTGGGCATGAAACTCCGGGCGGATATTCCGTCCTCTGTGCGCCTTATGGGGTATAACGTTCGGGTGTTTAACGCCCGCCAGCCGCGGACGTGTTATCGTTGTTGTCTTTTGGGCCATCAGGCTGCTGCCTGTTCTGCGCCAGCCGTTGCACTAGTGAATCTCTTCAGTGAGGAGGATTTTCCGCCACTTCCTGTGGGGGATGATTCGGTGGATGTGGACATCTCTTCGGCTGAGGGTTCCCTCTGTTTCAACTGTTGCTCCGCCTGTTGTTATAGCTTCGCCTCCGGTAGTTGTGTCCTCCCCTGGTGCTCCGCCTGTTCTGGCTGGTGTTCCTGAGCTTCTTCCATCTGCCGTTCCTGAGCCTCTTCCGTCTGCCGGCTGCTCGGGCCCCTCGTCTTCCGGTTCTTCCTCTGCTGCGTCTGTCCTGGTCCCTGCACCCTCGCCGTCTGTGCTGGGTGCTGGGGAGGCTGCGGTGCCTCCTGCTGTGTGTGGTCCGGTTCCCCCTGTGGTAGAGGCTGCTGCCGTTCTGCGACGGGCGTCGGTTCGCCCGGTTCGTGAGGCCTGTGATTCTGGGTCCGCCTCCGGCTGTGAGGATGTGCGGCCAGTGCCCAAGCGTTCCAGGCGTTCTTCTACTGCTTGGGCTGATGCGGAGGACTACGACGCAGGTGGAGCTTCGGGAGATGATGTGGCGACTCCGGGTGCTTCGTGCTCTACGACGCTGGCGGTGACTGACGTCCATGTGTCTGCTGTTGACGATGTTTGTACCTATGATTTACCTCCTGTTCTTTCTCCTGCAGAAGGTTCTCCGCAGTGGGGGTGGTCGCTCCTACTGACGTGGATGGTGAGAGTTCTGGTGCGCGCTCAGGCATCAAGCTGGTACTGAAGAAGGATGCCAAGCGTGGGGCGTCCCGACAGGAACAACGTCCGGTGGTTGACGCGGAGCGCTGTGAGGCGGCCGAGGAGGCTCCCAGTGCGCTGCCCATTGCCCGGCCTCCTGGGAAGGAGCCCCTCCCTCTCGTCTTGGCCTCCGGAGTGGCGCATGATGCGCAGCATCCTTTGCAGTTTGACATTATTGACCGCGTGCATCCTGTTCCGTGGTGCCCTTCTTCCATCTGGGTACAGCGGGCTCGGTGTTTTGTTGTGGGTGTGCCGGAGTTAAATGCCTGATCTTCGTACTGTTAATACTGCACCTGTTCCGGATGACGTCATGTTACTGTGGGAGGCGTATTGTGTTCGATTCCCGGCGGCGGAGTGGCCAGATAAGTATGAACACTTTGAGTAGTCTGTGTGCTTGCTGTGACCTGTGGTTAGTTGCAATGTGGTGTACCTATTGTGCGCCCTTCAGGCCGGTGTTTTTATTTTTTGTATTTATCATATTTCCATTACCCTTCTGTCCGGTGTTGTGTTTCATTGTGTTTATGCTCCTTGTTGTCGGCCCTTCGGGCCGATATTTACTGTATTTGTGTTAGTTTATATTAACTTGCTTTGTGCTTTTGTATTTTTTTGTTGTCTGATTGTTTGTTATTAGTTTATTATTTTATTGTATTTATTCGCATGTTCGCATGTAAAAATAAAAATAAAAAAAAAAACTTCAGATACTCTAGTATTTAATGAATGTCGGCTCATGGATTCGAACCTAAGCATAACTCAAACACTGAATACTAATTTTCGGTGTGAGAACCCAGCGACTACCCTTAAGATAGCTACAAACAATTGAGGATTCAACGACCTAGTGATTTGGAGTATCAGGTAACTGAACTCTGGCGTTTGCTCTCGACTATATTTCAGTTGAAGGTTATAATCTCACATCTGACACTTAACGTGTTGGCCTTTGTGCAGTCCTTCTGGCTGAGACAGAATCTCACATCTGGTGCCTGAAGTGAGGCTCCTGTGGGTATTCTGCAATTACAGAGGATCTACTTCCAGAGAGAAATATAAATCTCACAACATTTATATGTTATTGCTTATGTTTTATTGATATTTAGAAATCAATATTAAAATTTCATGGTCTGAGACATAAATACTTATGTACCATTGAGATGAAATGATACAATTTTGATATAATTGATTTTATATTGTTTATATCGGTGCCCTAAGATAATTTTATTATTTGAGATTACTGTAGAATGTTAATAGGACTACAGTATATGATTTGGAAGATTCAAATTTGTTGATAGAAGAGAAGTCTTAAGGATAGTTTATGGTGATAATTCAGTCAGTAAATTTGTGCTTATATAAAGACCACTAGGCAATTAAGGATATTGTGAACTATTTATATATAGAGAAACAGTGATTTTGCAGTGTGGATAGATTAGATATCTTGAATATATACGTTGTTGAATATTACTGAGTGTTGAGAGATGCATCTTATGTATATTTTCTAGTAAATTGTATGAAAATCAGAGTAAGTATTATTGCTCCCTACCTTGGCGACCTTGGGGTGGAGTTAAGCTTACCAAATCTGGTCTGTACTTACTAGCTAGCCTGATTATAAGATTACTGTGGAGAGTTTCAGGAAGTGGAGGTTTTGAATAAATTGCGAAAACCCAAGGACTTCAGTGAGGGTGACAAGAGTGTGAGCATCAGACTACAGGCGGTTCACAATTCCCACACCCTGATTTGGAGTACACCCTGATTCCCCCATCCTGATGTCCTGGAGTAGCCTACTAGAGAAAATGTAGTTGCCTCCCTCTCGCAGGTGGTAAATAGTTTCTTTTTTATAATGTTAGGGTCTTCTACCCTTACATTTGGAAGCCTGTTCGGGAGAGGGCGCTCCTTTACTCTTACAGCAGTAGCCCGAGTCCCTGCCCACAAGTGAACAGTTACCAATGACTGCTGACCCCACCCAATACAATGTTGTTCATACAGTATCATGTACCTCATTACAATTAATTTATTTAAAAATTGTATTAGGTTTACAAATTTAATTTCAGTGTAACTGTAGAGGATTTTTTAGGTTAAACTCCAATCCAAGAAATTGTTCTCAGGGCATCATCAATATATAAATAGTGGAGAAAAGGCTAGACATAGCTAATTACCTTTTTGAGAAGAAAGAATTGCCCAGTGTAAGGAGTGAGGATGGTAATATCTGTTGAGCTGTAGCCTTGCAGCATCAGATGGCGGCACAGAGCCATGATCAGCTCACCCTCATGCAAATTCTCGTGGCTGTTGTTGTCATCATTTTCATTCTGAAAGAGCAATAAATGTTTATGCATATCGTATATATATTTATTATTTACTTCTGCTGAAACAAAACTTCTGCTGCGCAGGAAGGTGAGAAACTCTTGCTGATCTTAAGGGGATCGATGTGCTGATAGGCAATAACATAATAAAACAATTTTGTACTTACAGTACGTCTACCTCACATTCTCATACCGAATGACTCACCTTCACATTCTCTGTGGCGGCACCTCTGAATTACACACAACATTCGCTAAGCACCTCTCTGCATCTCACGATGCCGATGACTCAGATGCAAAACGATCACAGTGGTATACTTTCCCACAGTCCTCTTGCTTGATTCTGAGCGCTTTACTCACGAGGTCAGACCTCACTCCCAGCCTGGTGCTTTATACTGAGAAGAGACGGAAGGCCTCTTAAGCAAAGTGCAGTCCTCTGGTACTAAACCTGTATACCATGAATTACCGGATCAAGGGGAGATTCAGAAGCGATCGGACCCTTACCAGGTCAGAGATCCTGGACTTGATCTCTACAACTACTGTTGCACCACTATATGATGCAACCACTCGACGTTGCCGACGATGGAGGACCCTAACTGCTGTTCAGCAGTGCAGCGGCATTACAGGGGTCTCTGCGACCCCATGTTGTTGTTGTTTTTGATTCAGCTACTCAGAACAAGAAGTTCCAGTAGGACGGGCTATTGTGCGCCCGTAAGTGGAGGCTCTTTTGAGCCATTATCTGTATCAATAACTGATACTATAGATCTGGCGATGGATAGGGGTCTTTATGGCAGTTTTCAGCCATGGAGGGCTGGCTGTACCAGTTATGGAGCAGGTGAGTTGGTGTTGTTAGCCCGTTTCGGCCGGTTGGGGCCGGGTGTGTCTCTGCTCGCCTGTGCTGACGTGGCGTTACGATGGGGGTCCTTCTACCCCTTGTCGTCCGGGCTCAGTCTGTGGGACTAGAGTTCTCTGTGCGGACTGGTTACCCGGAGATTGCCCTGGCTTGTGAAATGCTCTCTGTCGCTGTGTTTGCGATTTATGGGGTCGAGTTGGTAACGGCCCGTAGGGCAATTGTGAAGTTCGCAGAGGAGGTGGCATATCACGATTTTCTCCGGCGATACGAGGGGCGGACACTACCCCTGCCGGATGGTGCGGGCACTGTAACCCTCTCGGATAAAAGTGGTGCACTTACTTACATCAGTGTGCATGGGGCTCCCTTGGAGTTTCCAGAGGCTCTGCTACGGCGGTATTTCGGCCGGTTTGGCGCAGTTGTTAGTGTGAGGGTGAACGTGGTGTCTTCTAGTCCTCTTAAGGGTGTGAGGTTAAACATTCGCACCCTGGGCATGAGACTCCAGGCGGATATTCCGTCCTCTGTGCGCCTTATGGGGTACAACATTCGGGTGTTTTACGCCCGTCAGCCGCGGACGTGTTATCGTTGTGGTCTTTTGGGCCATCAGGCTGCTGACTGTTCTGCGCCTGCTGTTGCACCAGTGAATCTCTTCAGTGAGGATGATTTTCCGCCCCTTCCTGTGGGGGATGATTCGGTGGGTGTGGACGTCTCTTCGGCTGAGGAGGTGCCCTCTGTATCAGCTGTTGCTCCGCCTGTTGCGCCCCCTGTTGTTGCCGCATCTCCTCCGGAGGTTGTGTCCTCGCCTAGTGCTCCGCCTGCTCCGGCTGGTGTCCCTGAGCCTCTTCCAACTGCCGTTTGCTCGGACCCTCGTCTTCCAGTTCTTCCTCTGCTGTGTCTGTCTCTGTCCCTGCACCCTCGCCGTCTGTTCCGGCTGTGCTGGGAGCTGGGGTGGATCCGGCATTCCCTCCTGTGCCTGGCCTGGTGCCCCGTGTGGTTGAGGAGGCTGCCGTACTGCGGCGTGCGTCGGTTCGCTCGGCTGGTGCTGCGCGGGTCGCTGAGTCTGCCTCCGGGTATGATGATGTGCGGCCCGAGCCTAAGCGTTCCCGGCGTTCTTCTGCGTGGGCTGAAGTTGGCGACTTCGACGAGTGTCGTCCTTCCGTTGATGGTGGGGTGGCTCCGGATGTGGTGCACACTACGGTGGTGGCGGAGGTACACTTGCCTGAGGATGCCGGTGCCGGCGTTTCGGCCTCCCCTCCTGGTCTGGTGTCCGAGGGTCCTGCTTCAGGTGCGTCGCCTGCGTGGGGTGGCTCCGGTTCTTCGTGGGGAGTGGTTCCCCCTGCTGTGGTTGGTGGTGAGCGGGGTGGCCTGGTGATGGTGTTGCGAAAGGATGCTCACTCTGAGAGTTCTGTGGCCCCTTCCTCGTTATCCGTTTCCTCGGCAGCGGTCTTGCCGCCTCTTCCGTCTCCAGCAGTCTCTTCCGTGTCTCCTGCGGTATCCATGGAGGTGCTACAGTCTCGTCGTCCGGCCCCTGCTACTATGTGTGCGACTTCGTGGCAGTCTCGGCGGCCCTCGTCCGCTTCTCCAGTGTCGTCTGCTTCCTCGATGGGCGTGGATGGCGCTCCCCGGCCTCGTTATGCGACTTGCGTCAGTGACCTCGGGCGTTGGCCGATGCTGCCCGATATAGATGTTCCTGAGTTTATGATACCCCCTCGGGCGAGGGGGGGTCAAAAACCTTACCGACCTTGAAGATTTAGTCTGGGAAGCTTACAAGGCGAAGTATCCTTCCGGTGTTTTCCCGGAGAAGTACATTTCTCACGCTGTTCCTCGCAAATGATTTCTGTGTATTCTATGTTTCCTGTTGTGTACGGTGCGGATGGGGTGTGTGTGTGTGAGTGGGTGGGGTGGGTTTTGTTTCCCGGTTCCTGCGTGCTCCGGTGTATGTTGTAGGTTTTCTTTGTATGGCTGGTGGGTGGGTGTGCGGTTCCTGTGTATTTGTGTGGATGTCATATGCGCTTGTGTCTGTCATATTGTGTGCCCTTCAGGCTGTTGGCGAGTGCTCTTTGTTCGGTTGTGCCATTTTGTTTTAACTTCCGTTTGTTATGGCGTACTTTACCTGTTGTACGTGTTTGCTCTTTATGTTTTGTTTGGGATGTATTGTGTTTGTACTGTTATGTTCCCTGTTGTGCCTTTGATGTATGTTTTGTTTTATGACGCTTTTGTTTTGTGATGTTATTGTGCTAGTTTGCCTTTGTATTATACTTTGCCATTGTTTTATATTATACCTTGTATGCCATTGCATTATACCTTGTTGTATGCTGTATTTTTCTATGTCTTTATCGTGTTTGTGGTTTATTGGGACATGCTGTCGGCCCTTCTGGCCGGTGGTCTATTGTTTTCTTTTGTTCTGTTCTGTATTCTGTGTTGTTTTTATTGTATTTAAGTTGCATGTTTTGCATGTAAAAAAAAAAAAAAAAGTTATGGAGCAGGTGGGGATCCTGTAGACCTCAAGGTTTTCCGTTTTTTCTTTGCCTGCGACTTTGGCTGAGCCGTGCTGTCGTTGTAGTTTGGTGAGGTGGCCTCTATGAAGAGGTCTTGTGCCGAGTAGGTGTCGTATTTGTGGTGCGGAGGTGGAGCTCCTACTAAGATTTCCTCGTCTGAGGAGTACGTAACCTCCGTAGTTGGTGTTTTCGACTTTCGCCTCGCAGCCTTAGGTAAGCTCAGGTGTCGTGGATTGGTGGTAGACGGTATTTTAGGAACGTTGGTGGTGCTGTTAGCATTTGTAGACAGCACATCTGCTAGGGGTGGCTGCTGAGATGGTGATGATAGGAGTGTTGGGAGCTGGAGAGGGAATTACCTCTGTTTGTGCCGCTCGGGGCATGGGTGGTTCTGGAGTCTGTGTTGAAATTGACCTCGTGGTCGTCCTGGTGGTAGTCTCCTGAGTGGTAGTGGAGGCAGTGGGACTTGCGCCAGGGACTATGATGACCCCCACTACTTCACTGCTCTTGAGAAGGCACACCTAATCCTCACCCCACCACGTCACTACCTCGCAGCCAGAACAGTGTTTGTCCGCAGAGTAACCTCCCTACTCTCTGAAAAAGCTGCCACCGACGTCATCGCCAGCATTATTGAATAGAATTCTTCCTTGACTAGTGTCACTGTCAAGTTCATTTCTGTAACTGACAGCCACATCATCACCATGAAGGTTACATTCAGGACACCAGAAGACGCTAATTTTGCTGCCGATAACGGATTCCGCTGCTTTGGTATCGCCAGCACACATGACCAGATCACCAATGGAGCCACTGAAGGCCTAGCTCCCACTCCGCCAACCATTCAGCGACTCAGCCGCCACCGCCACCACCTCCCTCGGGTCAATCATCCTCATGCCAGCCTGCACCATACCAGTTGCCGGCTCCCAACATCGTTATTAGTACTGTCTTCGCATTACGCGCCTGGCTGAAATGATAGCAGGTATGAACTACAAGGAATTCGTTCTAATTTACAGTCTCCGTGGTGTAGTGGTAAGACACTCGCCTGGCGTTCCGCGAGCGCTATGTCATGGGTTCGTATCCTGGCCGGGGAGGATTTACTGGGCGCAATTCCTTAACTGTAGCCTCTGTTTAACGCAACAGTAAAATGTGTACTTGGATGAAAAAACGATTCTTCGCGGCAGGGGATCGTATTCCAGGGACCGTAGGATTAAGGACTTGCCCGAAACGCTACGCATGCTAGTGGCTGTACAAGAATGTAACAACTCTTGTATATATCTCAAAAAAAAAAAAAAAAAAAAAAAATCTCACCAAACTCAACGTTGCAAATGTTCTCCCAACATTTACTGTTTCAGAGGAACTTCTCAATACTACAGCTTCAGCCACTGCCACCACTTCAGCTTCAGCCACTGCCTCCACTTCAGCTTCAGCCACTGCCACCACTTCAGCTTCAGCCACTGCCACCACTATCAGCTTCAGCCACTGTCACCACTATCAGCTTCAACCACTGCCACCACTTCAGGTTCAGCCACTACCACCACTTCAGGTTCAGCCACTACCACCACTTCAGGTTCAGCCACTACCACCACTTCAGCTTCAGCCACTACCACCACTTCAGCTTCAGCCACTACCACCACTTCAGCTTCAGCCACTGCCACCACTTCAGCTTC